CACCCTCACCCGACTCCACTGGCTCCCCATCCCCCAGAGGATCGAGTTCAAGATCCTCGTCCTCACTTTCAAGCCCATGGCCTTGCCCCCTCCTACCTCTCTGACCTGCTGACTCTCTACCAGCCTGCTCGCTCCCTCCTTTCAGTGGGCTCCAGCCTGCTCCATGTCTGCCGCCCGACCTGCCCTACCATCAGTGGCCGGGCTTTCAGCCTCTCTGCCCCAACACTCTGGAACTCCATCCCACGGTCCCTTCGCATCGCTGCCTCCCTTGCCTCCTTCAAGGCCGGTCTCAAGACCCTTCCCTTCGATCATGCCTTTGGTCTCCCTCCCACCTCTCTGCCTTCCCTCACCCCTACACCACCCCTCCCCCATGCTCGGGCCCCGACACCTGACTGTTCAGCGCTTTGGGACGTTCTCCCGACGTGAAAGGCGCTCTATAAATGTAATTTTGTTGTTGTGGACATTTCCCCCAAAAAGGGAAATGAAAACTAAACACTTGGAGACATGAAGCAACTAATAGTCTGGTATCCAAAACAATAAAAATCCAAGAGCCAAACACAAAACCACAAACTGAATTCTACCACAGAAGGATCTCTGCTCAAAAAGGAATTATGTAACAAAACCTACTTACATGATTTCTAATGAAGCCTAGAGGCAGCAGTTTAACACTAAAGCTAAAATGAATTGAAATATTTGGTCTGCACTGAGTTAGCTGATCTTATCCTGGGTAGCAGTTGGGACTTTAAAGCTGACTTCAGTTACACTACGCTAGGGATCAGTTGGGTTCCTGCTCCCGATTGCTATCCAGTGTTCTCTGCTGGAAAGTGTGATACTTTCCTGGGCTAGCCACATGGCCGCATAGCCTAACAATAATCAATGTCTAGGCTCATGCACAAGAGATAGTCACTTAGGTGAGCCACTGAGTTGCCTCTATGCAAATATAAAAGTATAACTGTGCCATTATGCCAGAATAAAATTGATCACTCACTCCATGGCTGTTTGTGAAACGTTGCTGTGCACAACTGGCTGCCATGTTTCACTCACAAAATGCACAGTAAAAAAACAACTTTACAATAAATTCTGTGAAGCGCTTTGAGACATCTCGACGATTTGAAAGACACTATATTAAATGCGAGAATTATTATCATAACCCATATGTGTGATCAACAGTCATCTATGATGGTCAATATCCATCCATGCATAGAAGCAATCCAGAACCTCACCCAACAGACCATTGCTCACATTTGAGCCTCCAAGATGCTAGGGTTGTATCTTGGCTGAAAGAGGCTGGCAACGGGACACAAATGTAACATCGGCAGAACTGGGTACTTCATTCAGTGAGACCACAGAAACCAACTGAAGTGGCATGTGAGAGATATGAAAGTTGGATATATTCCAGGTTAGGGTAAAATCATAATTACTATAAATTAATAATCCTTGCATTTGATATAGCTCCTATAATGTCAAAATATCTCAAAACGCTTCACAACTAATCACTGTCAAGCGTGGTGATTGTTTATTTGTAGGCAAACTCAGCAGCCAATTTTCAGACAGCAAAGTCCCACATGCAGTCACCAAAGATGGGTGTTGAGTATCATAGATGACTGTTGATCATGGATATGACTACTAGCACAATGATAAAGTTAAGCTTTTATATTTTACAAAATAGACAATCACTATACTTCGCAGTAAAATCCTGTGAAGCACTTTGACACAACTGGATGACACGATAAGGTGCAATATCTTAGCATGTTTAATCAAACTGTCTCAGTTTTGGAAGAATTTGCTGTTTGATGTTTCGTTACTAAGTCAGTGGGTAAACTGCCCGCCACCCCATCCCCACCTAATTCTTCAAAGTGAAAGACACGGAAACCACCTTCTGTCACATTCAAATTCATTTCTGTTTCCCTTTATAAAAAACTGTGGTAAATGCCAGACTTCCTCTTGCACACAGAGTACAACACCCACCCCCAGCAAACCGGGCTATCCGATCAATCAGTCTGTGATACTGATTTTCCTTTTTGTATGATTCAGCTTGGGGAAAGTGGAGGTAGGGGAGATGAATGTCTCTGGCATTTTATTAACTTTTGACTTTCACCACAGTTTGATATCAGAACCAGTCACAGGGGTAAATGTTAGAGCTTTTGAAAGCATAGAAATTACACAGAATTTTACAGCACAGAAACAGACCATTTGGGCCAAATAGTCCGAGCTGGTGTTTATACCTTCCAGGAGCCTTCAGCCTTCCTCATCCTCGTTCCCATATCCTTCTTCCTGTATACATCAAACTTTGGAAGTTTGGATCTCAGACAATGAGCTCAAACATGCAGCAATTTGTAATTGGATTCCTTAATAAGAAAACAAGAGCCACCCCTGGGAATTCTCTCTGACATGATCTGTTGGCGCAAAGTTCCTGCAAGTCAATGTGACACACTGCTGGTAAGCAGAGGAAGGCCCATTCATTTGTATTGACAAATTCAGTTTGAAGGAAACTGACACACATTAGACCTGTTTGGTGGGTGTTAAAGATCCCATGGCACTATTCAAAAAAGATAAGAGAGTTTCTCTTGGTGTTCTGGACAACAATCCCACAAATAATACTGGTTATTCAGTTTGTGGCTGATTGTGAGTCAATGGTGTGGACAAACTAGCCATTGCATTTGCCTACAAATACAGTCAATACACTTTACAGTAAAATCCCAGGATCATTATTTATTGTCATACATCACAGATCAAAAAAAAATGCAACAGCTGAAAATCTGAAACAAAAACAGAAAATGTTACAAAGACACAGTTTACTCAACAACCAGAAAAAGGAAGATAGGTTATATGTTCCAAACACATAGTCCTTTGTCAGAACTGAAACATTGGCTAGAAGAGCCCCTTTGGCAAGAACCTCCCCAACTTCTGCAAAACACAAAAGAACACAGAGGAAAATGTTACTAAACTCCAAATAAAGTATAGACAACAGAAATATCACTTTGTACAATGCATGTTAACCCAACCTCAAACAACCATGCACAACATCACCGGTGTCTATTTTCCGACTCCCCCCTCCCCACCCCATGAGGTTTGTGTGAGGTTGTTAATTTGGTGCAGAGTTAAGAGCAGTTTCAGGGGTGGTGGTGGGGAGGAGAACACAAATGCATCAAGAACTGAGGTTGAGATTGCCCAAGCCTATTTCATAATGAAGGACCCAGTAGCATGTTTCCATCTCACCAGTCTGAACTACATTCAAACCTGTGTTCTGCAGATAAAAGGGTAATCTGCAAATTCCCTGTTTTACCCAGTTCCCCTTAAACTAAGCAAAAATAAGCTGCAACCCAAACACAATGCATTATTGATCAGTTAAAATATAGCTTTAATGACTCACTCTGCCAAGTTTCCAGCTCGGCAATGTTGCTGTGGAGGGAAAATAAAAATCATTCAAGATTGGACTGGATGAAGAAGGCCCTTTGGCCCATCTGATCTCATCCCTCCAGAACATCCACCCTAATTAATAATAATTATTGCATTTAATATCGCATCTTATCACGTCATCGAGACGTCTCAAAAGTGCTTCACGGGTTATATTGTAAAGTGGATTGACTGTGTATTTTGGGGGCAAAACACAGCAGCCAACTGCACATAGCAGCGTCCCACAAACAGTCATGGATTGAATGACCAATTTTTTTTTGAGGGATTATTACCCCTGGAAAGCAATCGAATAACAACTAGGTCCCTACTTACTGCTGGATAAACAGAGACGTGCGGAGTAAGAAAACTTGCCAAAAGTTTTGCCCTACTCAAGAACTAAACCAGGTTCTCCCACTTGCAAGGTAAGCGGGCTAATCACTTATCACTGCATCAAGTCACTTATTAGTCTAGTGTCCTGGCCTCCAATTCCTTTCCTGGCAACCCATTCCAATCTTTGATTAGCTCACTGGCTCCACCTGCACTTCATTTGGGTAGTTCAGAATAGTTTTATCACTGGAAGCAAATATATAATAATCCATGCATTTGATATAGTAAATTGGAGAATTTACTATTAAAAATACAGAGTACAGGCCTGGTTTTGATGTTAGAGCAACTTTTCTTACTCCACACACCCGTTAACCTAGTAGTAAGGGGGATAGTTTTTCCGGGGATAATAATCCTTAAAAAAAAAAAAAATTTGGTCACTTAATCCACAACTGTTTGTGGGACAATGTTATGTGCAATTGGCTGCCATGTTTCGCCAACAAATATACAGTCAATTCACTTTACAGCATATTCTGTGAAGCGCTTTGAGACATCGAGAAGACGTGAAAAACTATCAAATGCAAGGATTATTATTATAAATGCTGAATGAGTTGGTAACTTCCAAAATATATTTCTGCCAAATTTATGAAACCAGATCATTGGAAAATAGTTACAGAATATACTTATGTTTGATACTGCACCTTTTACATCAGGAGGACTTCTCAAAGTGCTGTACTGTAAAGTTTAGTGACTGCATGTTTTGTGGGCAAATGCACCACAACATCCCACAACCATGAAGTGAATGAACAATTTTATTTAGTGGATTGTTGGTCAGGAGAAACTCGCTTCTCTTTTCCACTAACCCCGTGAAATCCTTAACAGGTAGTCCACCTGAACAGGCAGTCATGGAATGGTTGATTCAAAGCAGGGGAGTAAATTAAAAATGTATTCTATAATCTGTTTCAAACTGCTAACCAAGTGCACATGAATATTCTGTCTCCCAGACAGGTTTGTGTCTTCATGATTTTGTAGAATAAAATAATCTCAGGGATCCAGACGATGCATTAATCTACTTCCTCACATACCCAATGAAGCTTTGCTTTAATAATTAAGAGGATCAATCATTATTAATATCTTCAGAAACAATTTCAAATTGGCTGCCTTGTGAAACAGGATTATGACATCAATGGGTATTCTTTTGCAAGACATGCTATGGCCTTAAGAGTCACACCTCAAAATATTACATTTAAAGCAATAAAAGAATTGTGCAAACATTCTTGTACTTTTGGTAAATAATTTATTAGTAAAGTTTGTTTATATTTTTACAAAATCAACATTAGAGTTATAATCAATGGAATCAGCTTTACTTTATGGACAGACACACAAAGTGTGGAGAAATATATAGGCTTTTATAGTTAGCCAAACAAACCAAATTATACAGAAAGGAAATAAATATACAAAATTGACAAATTAAACATTTAAAGGGAAATAATAAAGTTTCACCTTTTCAAAAGTACTGGCCTGAAGATTGAGAATACAGACTCTTTAAAGTTAGCACCGTAAACAAAACAATCAGTTGGACGAAAAACAAGTTCTTCCTCAGCTTGCAATGAAATCTATTGCCCACCAGAATTGAGAACGAAATGGTAGCATTCATTGCAATATCCGTTGCATTTCTCATTTCCAAAATGGTCACACCCAATTGTCTGGCAACGTGGTTTTTGTGGATAACTCTCCACTTGGTCCTGGGAGCTACCACAATTCCTCTGATGGCACTGTAAACAAAGTTCCTCTGTGCTGGTGTTTACAAAGTTATTGCAATAGTTTCTTGCACATTTTATTTGCTGTCTTCTTAACTCGTTGCGGTCAGAATGTCCATGTTCCCCAGCATTCTAGAGAGAAAATAAAGCAGAAGGTGAGGAAACCATCATTTCAGATTATATTTTAAGCAACAAGTACAGAATGCAGGAAGATATCAAATGTATCTTACTGGGAGGTGCACTGCCCTTTCGCAAATTGTTAGGTCCTTGAAGAATGTCTCAGTAACAACTTCCTCAATAACAACACGTTGCCTGAACCTCAGATTCATTTAATTGTGAGGAAATTCTGAACATAATATCTATCCCCCCCCCCCCGGTCTTGGATCAGCTATGAAACCAAAAACTAAGGGAGGACTGAGAAATCCCAATAACTGTGCGCAAGTCAATCTTTCTTTGTAACCTTTTAAAATTTTGTGTAAACACTGCACTTGAGCATCAACCCAGATTGTGAGTTCAAATCCCGTCTGGGGATCCAAAAGCACTTACGATGTTGGATTGCCCTCTACATCCTGTTGCTTCATTGATTCTCTGATGCTGTGCAGCAATGAAACATTTCTCGCAGTATCCTTCGAACAGAGTCTTTCCAAACGTCTCACAGTCCTGCCCCCGACATCTGGCCATGTTCTGGAACCTAGGATCTGACGGTGACGGCTGGTGGGATCGTTGCTGATTCCTCTGTGCTCGGTTTGGGTTAATTGCTAAAGGATCGCCTTTTAAGAAGAGAAAAAAATTAAGATTAAAATGGTTTCAAACATTCAATGGCAAAACATAACATATAATATTCCTTGCATTTGATATAGGACTGTACTAGGTCGTCGAGACGTCTCAATGGGCTTCATAGAATATACTAAAGTGGCAGCCAGTTTTTGCACGCAGCTATGTCCAACGAACAGCAATGGATTGAGTGACCAATTTTATTTGGGGGATTTGTTGGCTAGGAAACTGGGAGAAATTCCCTTCTCTTTTCGAATAGTGCCATGGGATCTTTAATATCCACCTAAACAGGCAGACAGTAACTCAGTTTAAAGTCTCATCCGAAGGATGGCACCTTTGTCAATGCAACACACCCCCAGCACTATTTTGGAGTGTCAACTTAGACTATGTGATTCTGAGTCCTGACATAATATATATGTGTATACATACACACACAAAAAATATACATATACTTTCATTTGATATAGTACCTTTCACATCAGAAGGATGCCTCAAAGTGCTTCATAGGATTTACTACAAAGTATAGTAACTATATATTTTGCAGTTGAATGCCAATTTCATATTAAGAAATTGTTGCATAGTCTTTGGAAGGAATGGGTTTCGATGGTCCTCCTTTGTTTTGTGTATTTTATGAAAAACACCAAACATCAAAATATGGTTGCAGCACAGCTGATCGACCACAAAATATATAGTCAATTCACTTTACAGGATATTCCATGAAGCACTTTGAGACAACATGATAAGGCACTAGATCAAATGCAAGAATTATTATATAAACCTACATGCATCACGAGACAACAAGTGTTGCGCTACTTATAACATAACAGGAGTCCTGTAGCTCAGTGGTTAGAGCATTCGCCTCACAAGCGAGACACCTGAGTTCAATTCCTGGCAGGGCGAAATGTTGGGCAACTTTCCTATCTCCACACACCTCTGTTTATCTGGCAGTAAGTAGGATTCCAGTTGTTAGTCGATAGGCGGATCGCTTTTCCGGGGGTAATAATTTTTTCAAAAAAATAATAATCGGTCACTTCAATTCACAACTTTGTGGAACACTGTTGTGCGTAATTGGCTGCCACGTTTGTTGCTTAGGATAATACAAGTGACAGTGAAAAGACAGAAGCAATTATGAGAAGGTAGTTTATCATGGACTCTATCCAGCTCCAGGTGGATTTGATATTTTTCATAAGCATTTTCTTACAATCATGCAAATAATCCAGATTTAATGAATTAATATTTCTACAGGGCTATCCAGAGGTGAAACCCAAATGTGTCTACCAGCAAGCTCCCCAACTGAAAATGGTCTTGAGGCAGCTATGTTGTTATTCGAGGGAGATTATGCAACATACCTAAATTTGTCTTGTATTCAATGAAGCAGAGGGTGCAGAATCCTTGATGCTGTTGAGTTCCAAAATACATGCATCCAGGCTTCTTGCACTTTGGCACACCTTCTCGTAACTCCTCAGACCCATGGGTGCCTCGACTGTGCTGTGTAGAGTCAGAACCTTGCAGTCCATTGATGGAGGGACACAGATTGGAGACCTGGTGCTGATCAGTGACCGATGGAAGACCAGCATTCTTTACAAGTTGACAGGGGTCTGAGTGCGACCTCTCATGGCCTGAATGTGAAGAACTGGTGCCTTCGAATGAGGAATTGCAGTTTCCTCGAAAGGTCCTTAACAAGCATGTATTGCACAAGCCATTAATGGTCTTTAGGACGTCCTGATGGCATCTACTGCACCACGTTTGTTCTTGGTGCAATGGGTTAACTGGACCTTGTTTAGTCCTTATATTCTCCTGGGGTGAACCAAGCTGCTCAGAACTGGACTCATTACGATGGGCCAATCTCAGCTCAGAAGTCCTATTATCAGGGACGTTACCGGGCAAGGCTGTCCTTGCTTTAAAGCAACGTTCACATAATCCATTGTACTGCACGTTCAATGTGAATGGGCAAGTGGGAACTTTGCATTTCATGGCACTGGTTTCGCTAAAAAGGAAAAGGCTCGGAGCCGTCGGCGGTGCTGAGCGAGGTCTAGATGAAGGCTCAGGCTCTATCGCAGCATTTACCAACTCAGGCCAAACAGGACGAGACCCTTTCTTTTTCTGCTGCTCATGTGGTTTTGGCTTGCTTTCAGTTTTCCTGCAGTTTGCCCGCTCAAAACACTCATGACAAATTGGCTTGGTCTCCACAGAGCAGTAGTATGGGCAGCCACGCGTTGCGCATTTCTCTTCTATGAGCGAACCTTGAACTGCGGCGGGATTCATTCGGACTGGCTGGTACGCAGGTCTGCTCATCGCACCCGGACTCTGCTGCCACTTCTTAAACTCGTGATTTACCAGCTGATAGTAATCCTCCACCAAATTCAAATCTTCTGGAAGATTGCCTTCATCCAACCTGAAAACAAGCATAGGCACCACCCGCTTAGAATCATAGACACTTACAGCACAAAAGGAGGCGATGCAGTCCATTGAGTCTGCGCCAGCTGTAATTTTAATCCTACTGCTCTGCACTATCCCCATGTCCCTTCAAACCCCTCTAACTTTACCACACAGCAAACATGAGTCACAAAAATTTCAAACATGCACTGCGAAATTCAGAAACCAATAACTAATCACTGAATAATATTTTAAAATAGCTCCAGGTAAACGTTTGGCAGAGTGAAATAGCTAATTCAATTTCTAAGAAATCAATTTAAAAAAATGATATGAAGAGCTGAGCCAGACATTCAAAGTGTTGAATATATTGCATCAATGAAAATAACGCAGTGGAAGGTGGATTTTGCATTATTACTTGTTTCTAGTCATACGTTAGAAGCATAGAAGTGAAAAAAACTTGCATTTTTATAGAATCTCACATTTGAAATATCTCAAAGCCTTTTACAGTGATTTACGTCAAATGTAGTGACTATGCAGCTGCCTATTTGTGCATGGCAAGGCCTCATAAGCAGTGAACTACCAATGGCGAATGACTCATTTATCTGGGGGGTGGGGGGGGGGAATTGATTCTCCCTTCTTTTGAATACTGTCACAATCATTTACTGGAGACATTTTGAGTACAATAGATACCGAGTTCAAAGTTTTTTTTGTTTTGTCATACAATGACTGGTTGTTGGTTACACAGTCTGGTACCAGCCCAACAAGATTGTTTTCCTGAATTCAGATCATCTAATTGTAAGCTACTCTGTAGTCCTAAGCAACACAGACAAACAAGGAGCGAGTCAGAATAGCTTATTCTGTACCTTGCAGCTTTAATCAAGTCAGTGGTGCCAAAATCCTGGCCTTGTGCTGGTATTTCAATAAGATTGAAGTACTCCTTCAATAGTTTCTCTTTATTTTTCTCCTCTTCTGGTGTTAAGAAGTGTATCATGAAGTCTTCAAATCGTCTTCCCTCATTGTGCACAAGTGGAACAGCACGGATTGCTATCAAAAATAATAGGTTGAATGTGTTATGGAACAAAGATTCATAACGTACATAGACATGTGGAGACCACACCTCAGAAGCTTGCTGCATGGATAGCCAAATTAGATAGAGTTGCATAGACTCTGTAGCACCAAAACAGAATAATCAGTGCCAGAGTTTATACCCCAAATCAGCCTCCATCCCTCTCACCCCGTACCCTTCTATTCCCTTCTCCCTCGTGGATCCATTGTGTATTCCTTAGTATTACTTTCCCATTACACACAGTACTAACATAAAAGCTGTTCCGGTATCAAATAAGGAATTAAGGAACATGCAGACATTCGCTGCAGATAGTGGATTGTTTAAAACCAGGAAATGGTTTGATAGCTGTATTGGACAACCCTTTATCTCTGCAACCCAGTTCAGTCTTGGGAAGAATAATTTAAAGAATAACTAAGCTTTAAAATACAGATTAGGCTACCAACATTGGATTTTTTTTTCTCTTATGAGCACTGTCCAAACCAACCTGGTAAATTATAACAGTTTAAATACTGGAACAAAAAAACCTGTTAAAATAGGTAGACAATGCACACCCAAGATTCTATGTATCAGGCTGCTTATGCTTTGTCAACAGACATCACGCACAGAATAAAAACTTAAATCATTCTGGGCTCTTTCTGGCCATCTCAGGAATAGCACTAAGCAGAAGCCAGGTACCAGGTCACTTGGCTCCTCAGGCTGGGCTAAGATGCCTGGGTAAAGGGTTCGCGCCCCCCCCACCCCAAAAAGAAATAAAATCAGAGGAAAGGATAAAATATTGCTAAATAAAATATTCCCATTTCAGTAACAGGACAAACTGTACATACAAGAGGAAATATAGTTACAAAACCCAAGATAAAGTAAACGATAGATACCTGGACCAATGTCATTATCGGCAACAAGCGGAGCAAAATGCTGTGCGTCATAGCCTATTATAATAGGATATTTATAACATTCTTGTGCTGGCCAATGCAACGGCAGATAAATTCCTCCAAAGTGCAAGGGAGCCAAACTTGTATTATTGCAAAAGCTTCTCACCACTCTGTCTGTTGAAAAAATGGGATCAAGATTAGGAAAAATATATTACAAACTGGTGTTTCGTGAAGACCACTTGTACTCAAAAGTCTCTACTAAAATTTCACATTAATGGGGTGGCTTGTTCAGCCTTTTATACTGGAGTCAATCCACTAACTGCAATTTTCTTTGTACCAAAACCTGGGCACCACAGACCTACATTCAGGTTCACTGCAATCCACACTCAAAGGAAGGATTTGCTCATATGAAGAGATCACAGTTTAACCAAGTCATACACAAGCCAGGTTCACAAACAAGTAGACCAATTCTCCTCCCTTCCCTTGAAGCACTGGCACCTGCTGTACAGGGATCCATGGGCAACATAATCTCTGCTATTTCTCCTGAGGGATCATTCCAAATGTGCATAGGCCACCTCAATCATTAGTAGTTAGTAATCAAGGAAAATGCATCCTTTTCACCTCTTACATGTCTCCACAGATCCTGCTGAAAATGTGGAATAACCCAATACGTGTGTATACAAGTTGTACAGCTGTGTTTATACAAATAGTCTCAAATGTTACATAAAATGGTATTTTCTAATCATTTTTCAGAAATCAGATCATCTTTACATCAGCACCTGATGTTGAGTCACTTTATTTGTTCTGGCAAGCGGCCAGACTTCACGGTGAGCTTACTCTTAGCACCCAGCAGCCCAACAAGAAATTAGGTTTCAATTATGTGAAGTACTCACCGGCAATCACAATTATTGGTCTTCTGAGTATATTGGCCAGAACAAATATGTGAATCTCTTCCAGTGAACCGTACGATAATCCAGGCTGGCCCAAGTTGGAAGCTGCTGATGCCATTTTCACCACTTTATCCCATTCTTCATCCCAGTTCTAGAAAAAGGGTTCATATCAAACATGGAGATGTAAACCGGTCTGAATCACTACGGCTGAATAGACACAATTAATTACAGTAAACTACAGCTAATTCATCACGCCAAAGAAAAAGGGCTCAGTGACAAGTTATCTGAATGTCAGGTTTAGGCACATGTATAAATACATATATAATTGCAGCCGGAATAGTGACAGAATGATGACTTAAGTGGTAGCGACACGTTAGCCAGGGTTGAGTTATCAGACATTATAGACATTCTTAGTCATGGCTCCACTGCACCAAACAATTTAATACACTTACCCAAGACACAAAACATAATCCAAGGCAATGCAGGACAACCCCTGTATATAATATATATTGCAGTCTAAAATCTCAGTGGCTGCATTATAAGCAAAGTACAAAAAATGGCCAAATCAATAGGTTGGAAGACCATCCTGGCTTTTCACACTTCCGATCAAAAGTGACATCACATGCTTCCTGTGCATCATGGCCAGGAAGTGACATGAGCAGTGACCTAAGCTCTTGAATATCAATGCGTAATTACGAAACATTTAGGTTTTCATCAGATATTATAAAACAATATTTTTTGCTCACCTTGGTGTCATAGCGTAGACCTGTGGCATCAAATTGCTGAGACCTTACACATTCAATCTGCCATCGGAATTTAAAGTTCCTTGTGTCCGTTCCCTTCAGAGCTTCCCATAGTGTTTTGCGAAGGGCAAGGTCGATGTCCTGAACGCCCCACATAAACTGAGATGTGGCATGAAGAAGGCAGTTCCCGTCTCCTAATAAAAGTAACATGAAAGTCAGATGGATAAATGAGCTAAATTAAAGTTACCCAGTCCAGTGCCCCAGTAAAACATCAGGTGGAAAAACAACCTCCTCATGAAAATACTGCTAAGTAGCTCACTTTGTTAGAAAATTAGCTCAGCCTCTGGGGACAGTCAGTAGTGTTTGTAACATATAAACGATAGCCTGAGTGCCAGATGTTTAAAAGGGCCTGTAACAAAAACACTGCTCTTATTTCAGAGTCACTCCACAAACCAACCATTCTGTGGACCAGGTGCAACAACAAGGTCAACCCCCGAAAACTCAGAGCTTGGCTCAGCCTGCACTTTCTAAACTGGTTTTCTAGCCCACGGAACGCCTTTCACAATACCTTGCTGTGCCAAGTGCCCTTACACTGTTCCTCGCAGCGAAACAGAAGTTTCATTTTGGGAGTAGAAGGTTATGCGAGGGAGTACGGAGTGGGTGGATGCCATGTGGAATATAAATACCCTCATGGATTAGTTGAGCTGAGTGGCCTATTTCCTTGCCATAAAATCTGTATAAATTTAGCAAATGTGAAAGCTTTGCAGAGACTCACCTACACTGCTGGAGACTTGCATGTCTGTCACACTTAACTTAATTTTCCATCATGGTTGAAATATCAGGTAAATAAATATAAAATGAAGGACAGCAGATCTATTTATTACCTCTGCCTTTTTCAATTGACAATGCAACTTAAAGGTATGTTTATTCTCATAGTACAAATAAAATGGGGCTTGAAGCAAGGCAATAAGTCCTTTCAGTTTCCGGGAGTTAAGGTTTCAGTATTTATTAATTCACGCTATCCTTTGTACATGAAGTATGCAGAGGGGCTCACTGTCAGAGCCAGGTGGCAAAACACATTGTGAAGAGACTACTTTAACCCCTTGTGGGAGCCATCATAAATAAACTTGTTATGAATCTTGTTACATAAAGGCTAAACTCAAACATGCTAAACATGCTAAACTCAAAATACAACACAGTCAGGCAAGTGGGGGGGGGGGGGGGGGGGGGGAGAAGGGGGAGTGGGAGAGGTGGGTGGGGGAGGGGCAGGAAAAAGGTGTGGTAGAGAAATCCAGAAATAGTGGCCCTATTGCCTCCATCATTGTCTTGAATGCTCCCGGTGAATTTCATCTATTGATGGGTTTGTCAGCTCACTGCCGGTCAGTGATTATAAGGTGGATATTAATGGTTACAAATGTAGTAACTGTAAATCCAGACGGTGACTTATCAGCACCAGTGATAACGTAACACATTTTTGAGACTCACTTAAATGCTGACAGACAGCCCTGACGATATGTGTTCTGTGTTGATGCCTAGTGAAAATTTACAGATTGTGCCACACACCTGGCAAGTATGAACATGCCAACTGCCAGGCATTCGATCAGGTTCTTTTTTAAAGACATAAAAGTTGTTCAATCTCACAGTCAGCATGCAATGTGCCACACAGCTGCTGTCTACGTAGCAGTAAGAAGCTCGGTCACAATATACGACGGAAAACTAACTAAGTTTCTGTGTAATTCAGGAACACGCAAGTTATTTTCCATGCATTGGTGGAAACAATGATGTTTAGGCATTACACAATTGATATCACGTGTCTAGGCACACACTGCAGCCCATTATAATATGGTTTGTTATAGCGCAAGCAGCTGTGCTAGAAATGGTCAACTTCCAGATCATTAGGATCGCTACCAACATCCCTTCTCGTGTGCTGCACGAGCGAAACCCTGGAAGTGTCACCAGTGGACACCTGACAACTTAAGTTTTTTTTGCCTTCCACAGGCTAAAAATTACAACTTACAGGTCATCAGGTCACCCCAACATAATTTCCTACATTATGCATACACAACACCAAGAAGTGATGTTGGTAGTAATAATAATCCTTGCATTTGATATAGGGCCTTATCACATTCTTTGAGACGTCCCAAAGCATTTCACAGAATATATTGTAAAGTGAATTGACTGTATATATTGTGGGCAAAACTTGATCTAGTGACCTGGAATGCCATTCGTTTTTTTAGTGAGGGAACCGGTCAGTATGCAGACAGGACGCGAGCCGACTGGCTGTGTGCATGTTGAGCTTGTTATAAGGTGGTCTGGAATCATTACGAAGCCCCAACTCCCACCATATAACGAGGTTCCATTATACACACAAGATATACTGCACACAGCTAGACAACAGAAACAGAAATAGAAAGTCTGCAACGAAGTTGCGTGACATGTTCATGCACAGGAAGCTGGACAGTCAGCACCACAAGCCATAGGACCAGCAGCCACTTGTATTTTACCGCCTTATAATGGGGTCAGAGCATATCAATGAAACAATGATTCCTTGACAGCCAATTTGTGAAGGGAGAGAGATTGGAAAAACCTCGGGAGGATGTAGACAGGAATACACTTAACCTATTTAACGAGAGAATTAAAACAGCACCACATGAATCAGCTCGGGGAATGCACAGAGTGCACACTTTAAACTTCCTTTTTAAGAATGGCCCGTGTAAAATTCCCTGTGTAATCTATGGAATTTCCAAATGACTACTCGTTTTGACTAATACCACACGTTGTCAATCACTATTCTTCTTCTGTCATACAGTGCTCTCTGAACCCGGAGTTATGCAGTGGAATTTCCAAGTGGGTGTGGTTGGAGAGTTTGGGTGCTTGGAATGTTTATACATTACACAAGTAAAATTTGATTCAGCCAATAGACGTTGGGACTTTTAGGGGAAGTTACACCTACATTCTTCCCCATTTACTATATTTTCATATTCCCCCAGATATGTCAGCACTGAATCACCGAAAATAACTACATTTCTTAATGCTGTCTGAGAGTCCCTCTATTGGCAAATAGCCCCCAAGGTGTTTTTTTTTGGGAGGGCGGGGGGGGGGGGGGGGGGGGAGAAAGGTAAACAATAATTGCTAATTAAAAGTATTAATTTTTAATTGCTTGCAAAGCTTCAAGCTTGACCTTTAGATTTTACCATGAAGCTTCTTAAACTGAAAATGAAACTGTTCATTTTTTTTAAAAAAAGCGTCAAGAATTAATTTTAACCTTCTTTCTGACAGCTTATGCAACTTTTGTCATGTACACCCAACAGTTTGGCTTTAATCAACATGTATTAGAGAATATTTCCTCAGTACATTTAAGATTAAGATGTTGCATTTTTGTTTGGAACCAACAAAAAGTTTTTTTAAAAAGTTCTGTACATTTATTACCGTATTAGGAAGTCATTTTGAAATTCCAAATTCCCAATCATTTCTTATGAAAACTCTTATTATTTATTGCAATTATACAGAATAGTGCAAAAGCGATGAGTCAGAAATACCATAAGGTACTTAAATTTGACACAAAGATTAAACATATCTATAAGTAGGCGAATAGAGTAAGTTACGAGAAGTCGGTTTGGTAAAGGATATTTCTGTTTCGTCTGTACCAATACCAAATTAAAATTGTCTAAACTTCCCTGGTTTAATGCCTACTAGTATTCGGTCATTCATTCTTTGAAATGCCACAAAAAATAATTCTAATTAATTACAACAGAAAATGTGCTAATATTCGGAATATCATACAATAATAAGTATTCAGCGAAGTGTGAAAAATACAGGGAAAGAGACCAACAGCGATCAAGCTATAGGATATGACTTGTTACCTGCACAGTTAGCTAGATATGTTTTAAGTGAAAGGCCTTGTGCAATTCAGAAATGCACTGGAGGAGCGGAAGAGATGGTTTTTAAATGGTTATTATAGATTATGTTTTGACACATTGCAAATATTCCTAAATTAAATATCAAATTATTCAGAATCCAAAAATGAAACACAAGACAACAGGGTCTACTATGTGCCATATATAGACCATGTGCAAAACTGGGAATATTAAGTGCCATATGTAAACACGTGTGTACTGAAGCAATTGAAAGGGTTTGGTGATTAAACACAAAATTGAGGGTATTTATAATTCCTGTAACCGAATATGCAAAAATAGACACCCTAATTCCATCGTCTCGGAGAAGATTGACATCACCGAGAGGAGGAATCGTCACGGTTGAGAGGTATGGAGGTTTTACCATCACTTGCCTCACACTGTATCAGTCATCCATTTTGTTTGACCCAGCTTTACAATCAAATATTGTAGACCTTTCAACTCACACTGATGTTTAAATAAGGAATCAGATAAACATCTGAAAGAAGAACATAAAATGGGATGGGGTGGGGGTGGAAGGGCAGAGGAGTGGGACTGAACGGACGGGCTCTTACAGACGGGATTGTCCGAAAGGCCTTGTTTGGTGCTGTTATGACTCTATTTATCTCCTGCCAAGCTATTAGTCCAAATACATAAATAAAAATACCTATGTCTCTATATCCGCTGGCATAAACAGGGATGAATGCGTCAGCAAGTATGTGCCAGTTGTTTTGGCCAATGATTAAAAACAGTGCCTTTGCTCTTACCATTGGTCTTTAAAGGGACCAGCTTGGTGACCTCCCTGCACCAGTTGAGATTCCTGAGTTGCTCCAGGGCTGTCTGTAGAGCCTTGTCGAGCAGAGCCGCTTGGACCTTCTCCCTGAACTGAGGGCTGAAGTGACTGAGGCGGAACAGCTCCACCGTGTACCTGTGCAGCCTCCTGAAGTGGTGGATCAAGCCATTGGTGCGGGATGGCCTCTCGATGTCGCCGGGTATCTTCTCCCGGATACGTACCGTCTTCGTCAAGTTGCTGGCAAAGAGAAACTGAGGCAGTAAGCTGCCCTCGGCTGCCATTGCGGCTCTGTATGTGACCTGCACAAAAGGGGAGACGCAGAAACACAGACCATTAACACAGACACCAGCAGACACACACACAGACCACTAACACAGACACCAGCAGACACACACACAGACCACTAACAGACACCAGCAGACACACACACAGACCACTAACACAGACACCAGCAGACACACACAGACCATTAACACAGACACCAGCAGACACAACACAGACCATTAACACAGACACACACACACACACACAGACACCAGCAGACACACACACACACAGACACAGGCCATGAACACAGCGCTTTATTTCTGCTGTAATTAAAACAATAAAAGACTATGTTTGCAGAGCGACTCCTGCAACAAAGACCCAGGAACCCCCCAACACACACTCACACTCACACACACTCACACACACACACTCGAAATCCTCACTTAACGACAACTTCAGTTGCAAAACCAATCAAAATAAACCCAATTCGCAGCGCCCGAACCGCTCCGCTCCCACAGCGCAGCGCCGGACAGGAGCAGAGAGGAGAAAACTCTCAACAGTAAAACAATACAGCAAACGCCACGTTGCAAAAAAAAAACACACAAATAAAAATACACATTACCCCCTCCACCAAAGAAAAAATGGGGGGGGGAGAGGAGGGGAGGGGGGAGGGGGGGGGGGTCGTTGGCTCAGTTTGTAGAAGTCGAGTCGTTACCAGTGTCTGGTGCTGCTGTGCTGTGCTGTTTGGGGGCCAGGACTGTGCACAGGGTCGGGCTGTGTCTGTGCTGTGCCTCCACTCACTCACTCACTCACTGCCTCAACATCACTGCAGCTCTCACTGCAAAGGCAAAGGCTCAAGAAAAGCCAATAAAGACCGGGGGTTTCCAGCGGGGATTTCCACTGTCTGTGCGTCTGTCTGTGTCTGTGTGTGTGTGTGTGAGTGAGTGCAGACAGGGGGAGCCGCCGAGCTCAGCCCTTCTGACTCATTAACGTGCAGAGCATTCACTCACTCACTCACTCACTCACTGTGTGTAGGAAAATAGCTACGACTGTCCCCCCACCCCCCACCCCTCCACCTGTCACCTGTGTGTCCCCCCCCCCCCTCCCCCTTCCTTCCTTCCTTCTTTCCTTCTTTTGCATTTGATTGCAGGTTGTAATCTCTACCAATACCGTAACCGCAAGTGTTCACTGTAAGGTTTCTCACCACCTTCGGGAGGACAAATAGATCGATTCCCAGCTGGAAAGCGAGATTATCATCATCGGAATAACCCATCAATCATCATCATCCTTGCATTTGATATAGCGCTTTATCGTGTTGTCGAGACGTCTCGAAGCACTTCACAGAATAAAACGAATTGACTGTATATTTTGTGGGATTAAAATTGACTTATTTTGCGGATCAGATTGGGAATTGACTGCTGTATATTTTGTGGGATTAGACGAGAGCACAAGATTGGTTAGGATGAAGAAATGTCTTTGGATCATTTGATCTCATCTTTCCAGTATACCCACACTAACGTCCTTCCATCACAGCATCAAGCTCATTTTTAAATGAATCCCATGGCCTGGTCTCAACCACCCTTTCTGGGAACCTGTTCCAGTCATTAATTACCCCCTAGATCCGTGGTGGCCAACAAGGCGAGGCTGCCTGGTCTGCCATCAGCAGTGCCCTGCTCTGGAATTGGACTACCAAGGTTTGACTCGTTTCTGACATTCTGTTGCCAAGCACATTCGCTTGGAGCCAATTCAACTCCAAGGAGACCCCACTTACCTTCCCCCACGCCAGGAAAGGCAGTTGGTCATTTAACATGTGCCATCACATTATCTTAAGATACCCCAGTTCTACTTTATCACAAATATGGTCCTGCACTTGGAACAAATAGCGGACTGATTATAAACAAATGATAATGCCAACTTTTGTTATCCCAGATTTTTTTCCCCTTGGACTCGCTGCAGCATTCCAGTCTCATGGGGAGAATTCCTAAATAGGAAATATAATAATCCTTGCATTTGATATAGGGCTTTATCATGTCTTCAAGATAAGCACTCCACAGAATATACTGGAAAGTGTTTGACTGTACATTTTGTGGGTGAAATCCGGCAGTCAATTGCGTACAGCAGTGTCCCACAAACAGTCGTGGATTGAAGTGACCAATTTTATTCTTATTTTTTTGAAGGAATTATTACTCCAGAAAAGCAATCCACAAATCGACTAACAACCAGGTTCCTACTTATTGCAAGGTAAACCGAGGCGTGTGGTGTAAGGAAACTTGCACAACATTTCACCCTTCTGGGAATCGAGTTTCTCGTTTGCAAAATGAGTGCTCTAACCATTGAGCTACAGGACTCCACACACAGTTGTGGATTGAGTGACCAATTTTTTTAAAAAAGGGATTATTACCCCCAGAAAAGTTATCTGCCAATTGTCTAACAACCGGGTTCCTATTTACTGCTAGGTAAACAGGTGTGTAGAGTAAGGAAATTTGCCTAACGTTTCATCCTGCCCGGCAATTCAACCCGGGTTCCCTCGCTTGCAAGTTAAACATAGAACACAACAATTGAAGAACAAATCATGAACAGCTGAAAGAAATTGGTTGCAGAGATTAAACCACAAATTAATTCAAGGACGGAGGAATGCATTCATTGCAGGAAAACAGCATTGGTCCAGCTTCCCTTTTTGTTCATTTCATCTAGAGTTTGATAGATTACTACTTCACATTACTTAACGTCATACAGGTTATTATGGTCTCATGATGTTCTACTGAGTGTAAAATGTCATGAATTAAAATGGGATTTCTTAATAGGAACTCTGAGTTGCAAATGTTAACTGGAACTGTGTCATTGTAGGCCTGTGGGAATTCTGTTCCGGAGGTGAATTACATTGGTGTGGAGTTTCCCGGTTTGGACTGTGAAACAGACTTCCAGTTACTAGGAAGGAATCCCCATTTGTGACTCAAAGTTGTATTGAAGAAACTCCATCTGAAAATCACTGTATTTTCAATGATCACAACTGAAATAAATGTCACCGTGATGTCACTGGAATCTGCACATCACTCTAATGTTAGTAATATGGTTAAAGTGTGTAGGAACACATCAGAGAGCTGACCATTCATTGCCCATTCATAGAGGACCAGTTTACTTATATCTCAAGACCCATGTTCATCATGTATCTTTCATATACTGTATCTAGGGCAGAAATTTATCGAAAATCATTATTGGTTACTAATAATGGAGCATGATAAAGCATCCACTTATATTCATATGTGTCAGCGTGGTTCAATTGGTAGCATTCTTGTCTCTGAGTCAGAAGACTGTAGGTTCAAGCTCTAAACCGGGGCTTTTCACGTAGTCTAGGATAAAATTTCAGTGCAGTCTTGGGGATATGTTGTATTGTGGGAGATGCCATTCTTTGGATGAGATATTAAACTGGGATCCTGTTCTATTCTCTTTTCAGTTAATTTCATGATTGTTCAAGTGGACATTAATCTCATGGATTTAATTGAAAAGAGAAGGGAGTAGCTCTTGGTGTCCTGGCCAACAATTCCCCAGATAAAATCGGTCATTCACTTCATGGCTGTTTGTGGGCTGCCAAATCGACTGCAACATTTTCCTACACAGTCACTACACTTTACATTACATCCTGTGAAGTGCTTTGAGATGTGCTCCTGATGTGAAAGATTCTACACCAAATGCAAGGATTTTTTAAAAGTAAAGAAATAATATTTATAATTTAAATAGTTAAACAGCAAATTGAAATGGAAAGCAGATGAAGATAATTGTTCAATTTGTTTAGTTGGTTTTCACTTGTAATAATAATAATTATAATCCTTGCATTTGATATAGCACTTTTTACTTCTTCTAGACATCTCAAAGCGCTTCACAGAATATACTGTAAAGTGAATTGACTGTATATTTGTGGGCGAACCGCAGCAGCCAATTGCGCAAAGCAGTGTCCCACAAACAGTTGTGGATTGAGTGACCAAAATATTATTTAGATTTTTTTTTAAAGATTATTATCCACTGAAAAGCGATCTACCAATCGACTAACAACTGGGTTCCTGTATACTGCTAGTTAACAGAGGCGTGTGAAGTAAGGAAATTTGCCCAACATTTCACCCTGCTGGGAATCGAACACAGGTCTCCCACTTACGAGGTGAGTGCTCTAACCACCGAGCTGCAGGAGCTTTGCATGAACTTGTTTCTCTTGCTCAGCTGGGTGTCTGACACATACAGAAACCCATCACCACAATTAAGAGTAACCAAACCAGGCAGAGTTCCAAATATGTATGCCACCTACAACAACAACAACAACAACAAGATTCCATTTATAAAGCGCCTTTCACGTCAGGAGGACGTCCCAAGGCGCTGCACAGTTGGGTCATGACCCGAGCAGGGGGGAAATGGTCAGGGTGAGGGGAGGGAAGGGAGGGAGCGAGGAGGGGGGAAATGGTCAGGGTGAGGGGAGGGAAGGGAGGGAGCGAGGAGGGGGAAGAGAGTCGAGAGGGGAGCTGAAGGCACGGTCAAAGAGAAAGGTTTTGAGACCGGCCTTGAAGGAGGAAAGGGAGGAAGCAAGGCGAAGGCACTGGGGGATGGAGTTCCAGAGCCTGGGGGCTGAGAGGCTGAAGGCCCGACCACCGATGGTAGGGCGGTTGGGGCGGGGGACGTGGAGCAGACCGGAGCCAGAGGAACGGAGGGTACGGGCAGGTAGGTAGGGGGATAGTAGGTTGGAGAGGTAGGAGGGAGCAAGGCCGTGAATGGCCTTGTAGGTGAGGATGAGGATCTTGAAATCAATCCTCTGGGGGATGGGGAGCCAGTGGAGGCGAGCGAGGGTGGGAGTGATGTGGTCCCGAAGCCTGGTGCGGGACAGTACACGAGCTGCAGAGTTCTGAATGACCTGCAGCTTGTGGAGGGAGGTGGCGGGAAGGCCGGCGAGGAGAGAGTTCCCATAGTCCAGCCTTGAGGTGACAAAGGCGTGGACCAGGGTTTCAGCAGCGTGAGGGGTGAGGTAGTGCCGTAGTCTGGCGATGTTCCGGAGGTGATGGAAGGCGGTGCCAGTTGTGGTGCGGATGTGAGGGAGAAAGGACAGCTCAGGGTCGAACAAAACGCCGAGGTTCCTGACTGGCTTTGAGAGGTGGAGAGTGCAGCCTTGGATGCTGATGGTGTCAGCGCCTGAGGTGCGGAGGCGCTGACGTGAGCCAATCAGGAGGGCCTCGGTTTTTCGCACGTTGAGCTGAAGAAAGTTGTCTCTCGTCCAGGACTCGATGTCGGACAGGCAGGCTGTCAGGACATCGGTGGTCGTGGAGTTGAGAGTAGAGGAGGAAAGGTAGAGTTGGGTGTCATCCGCATACATGTGGAAGTTAACTCCATGTCTGCGGATGATGTCACCGAGGGGGAGCATATAGAGGGTGAAGAGGAGGGGACCGAGGACAGAGCCCTGAGGGACACCACATGAGACAGTACGGGGGGTGGAGGAGAAGCCATTCGTTGAGACAAAGTGAAGACGGTGAGAAAGGTACGACCTAAACCATTCAAGGACAGTGCCTTGAAGGTTGAGGTGGGAGGACAAGCGGTGGAGTAGGATAGCGTGGTCGACCGTATCGAATGCTGCCGATAGGTCGAGGAGGACGAGGAGACAGAGGGAGCCCTGGTCACAGATGGTCAGGATATCATTGGTGACCTTGACCAGGGCAGTTTCTGTGCTATGGCAGCACGGAAACCTGACTGAAGGGGTTCAAAAAGAGAATGGGTGGAAAGGAAAGAGCGCAGTTGGGAGGCGACAACTCTTTCCAAGACCTTGGAGAG